GCAGGTCCGGGTCCAGAGCCGCCCGGGCACCGCCCCGCGGGCAGACATATGTGATGTGGTCAAAGTGGGTGATCTCAATCCCGTCCCCTGTGGCTGATGGGGCTCCTTGGATGGGCTGGAAGCCAGGCAGGAAGGGTCCTTGGTAGCGGGATCGGTCCAAAAGGGTATGGCTGACGTTGCCCACGATGGAGCTTGCCACCCCATAGGTGACAGAGCCACCTTCATCCCTCACCTCGGTGGGGGGCACCGGCAGGGAGCATCCCCAGCTCTGCAGCTGCTTGCAGAGCCCTGGCAGGTCATCCACCTCGAAGCAGACATTGGAGGCTGTGCCCAAGGTGGGCCGGGGATCCACATCATAGAGGAAATCGCGGGAGGAGGCACCAGTGGGCGCTGGCGCCAGGCGCTCGTTGACGAGGAAGACGGCGGATCCCCGTCGCAAGGCCAGCTGCCGGACCTGCGGGGTCTCCCGGACAGCCACCGGCTGGGAACGATGAAGCAGGGGCGGCTCAGCGAGGCTGCCATGGCTGCGGGGAGGACGCACGGGGTCAGGGGGCAATTTGCTGGCCGCGGGAAGAAGCCATTCCCCTACCTTGCGCAGAGCCGCAGCGCATTTGCATGTAGAGACGCACACGCGTGTAAATTTGGACTTCTTAAATATATGTATTTTAAATAAGTGGGTCTCACAAGCTGATACGCACTGTGCAAGGGAACCCACCTTTGGGACCAGCTGCAAAAAGCCGTCCCAAGGATGCTGAGCCATCCTGCCCTTGGCTATGCTCCTCTGCCACGCTCCTGGGGTTGCAGAGGAGGAAAGCCTTGGGCCTTGGCCACAGCAGGTCCCCTCCGGAGCTGTGTGTCCCTCGAGGGTGCCGCTGGGAGGTTACCGGGAATATCCGGGTGAGGGAGGTGTGCTGCATGTGTAAGCAAGACTATGGGGACAAGGGTTGGGTCGGGGGGGGAATGTCCTGTACCAGGAACATGGAGGTTGGACTGGTAAACACACAGCAACGTGCTGGTTACGGCTAAAAGGCTGCTGTGCTGCCCCAGCGCTTGTCAGTGGTGTCCCCACACATTGTCAGGGGGAGCAGTGGGGTCACAGCAGGCTGATGTGCCCTTTCCCTCCCCAACAAGGACAATGTGGAGCTGCCACGTTCCCCGCAACAAGCTCGGGGCAGTGACCTTGCCCGAGGGGCGCAGAGGGTGAAATAGGTGGGACGCTGTGGGGACAGAGACCTCCCTCCCCTCCCACCCAAATACTCATCACACCGAAGGGGCAAAAAAGATCTTTCCAAAACCCCACTCGGCATCACCTCTCAAGCGCATCCCACCGAGGGTATCCTGACCCCGTGCCACACACCAGCAGTCCCTGGCCGGACCCCACAGGGGTGCGCTGGGCTGTGCGTGGGGGTACACCTGCTTATTTATTCCCTTTTGGGACCCCCCAGCTGCTCCACACCAGCCTGGGGGAGGGGTGTGGGGGTCCTTAATGGGGCCCCTACCCGGCTGAGCACATGGGCAGGGGACGGCGCTCCCTCCCTCCCCCCCTGTCCTCCTTCCCCCCGCTGCACCCTGTGGGATCAGCATCGCTCCCGCTCCGCTCCCGCCACCGCCTCTCCCTCCCCCGTCCCCCCCAGT